ATTAGTACTATGCATGTTTTCTACGAAATATTTAACATACTAATTAACATACTGCCAGTAGGTTCAGCACTTTGGGTTAAGTGGCGGGATACATTTTACGTATGAGACAGTTTGACAAATCACCGTTGACTTCCCGCGGTTCCTACCACTTTGATTGTAAAAACAAAATTTTTGCAATTAATTGTGAAATATGACTTCAATAAGTCAATAACGCGGGTCTTGGGGTCAATGGATGACGAGGGATGACAAGGCTTTATGGGTGATCAACTTCTTTATTTTGACAATGGCAACATTTCGGTATAGATTCTTATACCGTTTTCAAGCATATGGGGGAATGATGTCTGGGTACAGTACAAACAAATCATGGATGGCGAGGCGGTAATCTGTTCGAGTGATTACTGAGAATAATATGAAATTGGTGCTTTCGCGGTAGGGGTGAAAAGCGGACCCTTATAAACAAGGTAAGCGGAAGTGGTACGCGTATAGAATGGGGTGATGTCATTTCGCACACGTTTTCTCTGATGTTACTGTAAACAGTTTTAATGAATGAAAATGGGATTAAATTTAAATTCAAATTCAATTAAAATGAAATCGAGGAAGATCGTTTTATTATGAGTTTTCTGACATCATACGTTTTCCGATAGTGCAGCAGTATTGACTCGCGCTATATAGATATAATGCGGTGTGTTGCATCCAGCAAACATTGTAAGTACTCTGCTGATTCCGTGTCTTTATGATAAAGTTGACTTTTTTTTATAAGTTATTACGATGTTCCGTTGTTTGTCTGATTTGAAATAACTGAGAAATGCATAGATTTTGACCAAATGACTCGATTGCTAGACATTTTAGGAAAGGTCTAAAATGATTCATAAAATGACGGTACAAAAATCGAAAATATCGAATTTTGGGATTGCATTATTGTATACCGAACCGAAGGCAAAATACTGCGGTATACCATTTCACCCCTATACCATTGTAGCATTTGTAATGGATAAAACTAATGAATGTTATGTTTGACAGGGTGTTGTGGTATCTACCACAAGGAACACCATTGATCTGCTTTGGCAATATTATAATGCCACCAGTGCCATGACTGATTCTTGATGATCAGTGTTTTTTCCATGACATAGAAAATCTGCGTATTTGATGCACAAATTATCTCAGATATGTCGTGAATTTAGAAGCTTGTGTCATTGTTGACGCAATGCTACTGAGCCCTTAGTTCAGATAATCTAAACTTCTAAAACTAAATGTTTGCCAGTTAACTGCTCAGTGCTGATTAAGACGGTGGGGTAGCCTAGTGGTTAAAGCATTTGCTCGACATGCCGAAGACCCGGGTTCGAATCCTCACATGGGTACAATGTGTGAAGCCCATTTCTGGTGTCCCTCGCCGTGATGTTGCTGGAATATTGCTAAAAGTCGCGTAAAAACAAACTCACTCAGTCAGTCAGTCAGTCAGTGCTGATTAAATGCCTGACCTGCCTTACCATGGTTTTTGTCGTTATTAAACAATCACAGTTGATGTCATGATGAAAGTTCCAAACTGAAGTTGACTCCCAAAAACATGTCCATGACTCCCTCTCATAACACCAGGGAGTCATGATGATTCCTGGGGGCAGTGGGGTAGCCTAGTGGTTAAAGCGTTGACTCGTCATGCCGAAGCCCTGGGTTCGAATCCCCACATGGGTACAATGTGTGAAGCCCATTACTGGTGTCCTCCACCGTGATATTGCTGGAATATTTCTAAAAGCGACGTAAAACCAAACTCAGTCAGCTCAGTCATGATGACTCCTAAATTTGTATGCCTAGGGCAAACACTGGATGATTGTAACCAGAATGAATATATCATGATTGTCCTTGTAATTTAATGACCAAGCTGTGAGGACGTCTGTTTGGCAGTGACTTTTGTTATTTCTTTACATATCCTTGTTTACCCAAATGTTACATGGTCTCTTTCATCTAATATACTCCTCACAAAAAGTTAAGCAACACAAATTTGTTGTCACATTACATTTTCATTTATTGAAATTGCAAATCATGGAATGATGCAATAGAAAGGTGAAACATATGTACACACAATTAAAAAAATGAAATGAAATGGTATTGAGCAATAATAGACTTACAAATCATCAACAGCATGTACACGTGAAACAGTCGTGCAAAATGTGCTGCATTGATTGAGCAAAATGTTATAATTAAGGTTCAAGTCAGTTTTGGACAGTGAAGCAGTGTTCAGGCACGGTATGACCACCATGGGCACAAATGCAAGCTTCTACACGTCTTTGCATTGACCAAATGAGCCTCAAAAGTTGCTGTTGTAGAATGTTCTGCCATTCTCTCTGTAACGCCTGCTCAAGGTCATCCAGAGTCTGGGGGTGAACATGGAGACCGTAAACACGACTTCCAATAATGTCCCAAGCATGTTCAATGGGATTAAGATCAAGTGACCTTGCAGGCCAGTGCATATGTGTGATGTTGTTGATCTAAACAACATCGTTAACAACTCTTTCTCGGGCATTATCATCCATGGACAGGCATTATCATCCAGAAAAAATGAAGTTGGGACCCGCTTGTTGTGCCAGATCTCTTCACGATATGGCTGAAATATTGCCGATGTGACATTACATTTTAACTCACTCGTTTGTTGTGCCAGAAGAATGATTACAGGTAGGTTTACACTGATCAGGGTGCATGTGTGAAGAGTGGAGCACATTCATGCCACACATTTTGCATGTTGTTTCTGAGGGTGGTTGTGTTAGGGTGATGTTGTCAATGTTATCAGATAAATCAATTTGACAGTCACTAAAGGTTATGTATTCTTTGAATATTTACCTTTCAGTAACATGTCGGCAAAAATCGCTATCAAGATTTATAAGAATATTACACTGAAAATACTTGTTGCTTAATTTTTTGTGAGGAGTATATAACAGGGATGTCACAACTTTACCTCACATATTGATAGAAGTCGTGCATATCGTTGTACTGGAATCATGATGCAGTACATATCGTGTTGCTTTGATTAGGGTCTGTCAACATAGCTGACAGTTTGTGTATAACTTGACGGGTTCATTGGGGGTGAACGATACTTTAAGTTCTGATGTAATAATATGATACACGATATGCTGATAAAAGAATTTATAGCTGTGTTTTTAAGGTTTTATACAGCTTTTAGCACTATTCCAGTAATATCACTGTTAGGTACACCAGAAATGGGCATCACACAGTGCCTCGGTGGTGAATTAAACCCACAACCCAACAGTACCATGTGCGACAGTTTTCGATATACGTAGCAATAGTTTACATAATCCATACATGGCAAGTGTTTCTGTTTGGAAGCTGTTTGCCTCGATTTTCAATTATCGATTTCAGGCAAGTGGTAAGGGGTAAGTCTTTTATTGCATCAATAGGAAGGTAAAGTGAGGGCATATGCCTCCAATATATAAATTATAGGCCAAAATGTTGTCAAGAAAGAAGTGACATTGTGCCTGAAATTTGAACATGTTTCCCTAAAAAGGCCCTATTTACCAGTGATTTGCCTTGAAAAGGCCATAAATTTAGCAAAACCTGTCAAGAAGTTATGATTTTACAGGAAACTAATACTGCTTTGCCAACATGTGTTTATTAATTTCCATCATGAAGGAAAACTTTGCCAACACAAAGATGCAGCTAAGAGTTACTTCCCTTTGGTGGTCGGTTCATGTTCATTCAACTTTCAAGTGGTCTATAAATGTCAATACATTGCCACATCTGCTTAGTGTCTCATTTGATTACCAAGACAGACAAATGAAAAGATTGAAAATGAGATGAATAGTTACAAATTATGTTTCATATGTGTATCTTTTGAGCCTTAAAATTGTTGATTGGGCAATAAAGAGGTAATTAATGATTATTATCTTACCTCACACATAAATGTCACTTTCTGATTGGCTGAGCGCTCTTCTATTTTATTTTCAATGTACCCCGCTTACAAGCGAGTAACATTTCAAAGTTGATGTCACTGCTACAAAGAGGCGAACATCAGACTGTATTACCCGAGGGAGAAGCATACAACGTATTTATCTCACCACCATGTTAAAATGTACAAAACATCATTTTATTTTATGTTAAAGATCGCGACTTACTATGTGACATGTAAACAAAATGGCGTCTGCCACTCAGCTGGATTTTTAAAATCAGTGAAACTTATTATGACAAGCTTAAAACTGCTCTAAAAATGGTTAATTATGTTTCAGCTGAGTGTGCAAACCACTCAATGTATAAAATAGTTTAAATATAGCAGTGAAAGTCGGTAAAATAAATCTGTACAAGGTGAACACAAAAACAGCTGATCGAACGTTTTTTTAACTCCGGGCACGACATATTATTATGACGTCATACGATTGTTAGCGCTTCAGCTTCTCGGCGGAGAGCTTGGCGGTTACCTTGGCCGAGGGTGATACTTTTTCCAGTTGTCACCCTCCTGGGAGGGGTGAGACTGAAACTTGTTAAAGCGTCATTGACCAATGAAATTAAAGTAGTTTACATGAAGGTAAGATAATGGGTTGTTGAAGATAAGCTCTAACCCTGATCTTCACAGGTCTGTTATTACTATGTAACCTGAATTGAGAATTTCTTAATTCATGTTTTGGACTGACATTTGCAACACACTTGATTAACAGCTTCTTTAGAGATACAGATAAATATCTGATGCAAAAACTTCAGTCAATACAGATTTGAACATGAATAGACACATCGGTAGATGTCTTATGTATCTGATAGTCAGGCATACATCTATAATGCATTAGTGACTCGTAACAGTCTGATAACGAGATATTCCAGTGAGCTGCAGAACCTATGTAGTGTTTATTAACATGGGGCTTGTGGGAAGCCCAGACAAAGTGTGGAAGTATTCTCAATTCCAGACAAACCTTCCGAGGACTAGGTCATATGAGATTAATATGTAAACAAACCTTTTCATATGTGCCATGTGTTTGAGGTGAAACTTTGTTGATCTTTTTCAGGCATGCAGATGTTGTATGCAGATGTAGCCGGCAGTCACAGACGGTGACGACACACACTGAAGTATGAAGATACACCAGTACAGAACACCACTGTCACAGAGACACGTCAGGTGACCAGCATATTACCATCTTTACACAAAGCGATCTTAGTGCTCAGTTGACTGACTGACTGACTGAGTTTAATTTTAAGCCGCTTTTAGCAATATTCCAGCAACATCCAATGGGGGACACCTGAAATGGGCTTCACACATTGTACCCATGTTGGGATTCGAACTCGGGGTCTTCGGCGTGACGAGCCAACTCAGTTGACCCATTCTTTAACATAGGCTTACGATCACCGTAGTGCTAAGATTGTTTCGTGGAAAAGGGCCCTGAGCCTAAGTGTTAAGGGCCTTTGTTTTAAAGGCATAAGTGAGTGAGAATGGTTTTACGCCTCTTTTAGCAATATTCCAGCAATATAAAGGCGGGGGACACCAGAAATGGGCTTCACACATTGTACCTATGGGGGCTATCAAACCCGGGTCTTCGGCGTGACGAGCAAACGCTTTAACCACTAGGCTACCCCACCGCCTTTTGAAGGCATAAATGTTCAGTGTTCGCAGTTCTCTCTGGTGTTGTAAAAAGGAAACAACTTTAGTGCTACAATTGTCGTAAGTTGCTGGGAGTTACGATCACCATTGTGCTAAGATCACTTTGTGGAAATGTGCCTGAAAGCCTAAGTGTTAAGGACCTTTCTTTTAAAGACATAACTTTTCAGTCCTGGGTGATGTAGAAAGGAAACAACTGTGAATATAGACACTTTCTATTTAAATCTGCTTGGAGGTTTTACTTTCAAGTGAGACCTGTGTTGATGTTTTACTTTCAAGTAAGACCTCATGTGAAGTTTTACTTGCTCATGTTCAAGTAAAACCAGGATTTTCAAGGTTTTACTGTTGAACTTAACCAATTCATTTGCATCTAATGATGTTGTTTTTTAACAAGTTATATTTAGGATTACACTTTCTCGGTAAAGTACAGATTCCAGTACTTTTGTTAGGTCGAGTCCCATCTGGACCATTTCTGGTGTCCCCGCCGTGATATTGCTGGAATATTGCTAAAAGCAGTGTGAAACTAATCTCACTCACTCACTCACCCATCTAGAATCCTAATTGCCAGCACCCAAAGTCAGCCATCTAAACACTCAGCCATCTTGGCTTCCACAAAATGTAACCCGTGAAGGTCTGGGTTAGAATGTTGGCCTTCAGTAACCCATGCTTGTCGTAAGAGGTGACTAACGGAATCGGGTGGTCAGGCTCGCTGACTTGGTTGACACATGTCATCGGTTCCCAATTGCGCATATCGATACGCATACTGTTGATCACTGGATTGTCTGGTCCAGACTCGATTATTTACAGACCGCCGCCATATAGGTGGAATATTGCTGAGTGCGGTGTAAAACTAAACTCACTCACTGAGTCACTCACTCACTCACTCCACAAAATGGAGAAAAGTCAGATCACAGGTTTTGTGTACCCCTCGTGACAGCTGAAAGCTATGAATACACAATGCCATTTAGAAAGTGGTCAAATGTAACACGTTATTTTTGAGATTAGACTGTCTCAGTAAAGTACAGATTCTAGTTCTTTTGTTTGGTTGAGTCCCATCCAGGATTCACTCTGAGAGTGTGGGTTTGTGGGCATTGTGTATTCATAAGTTATTTTATATTTTTGTAACACTTTTTAACAAGTAATTTCACAATTTGAATCAAACCAAATTACGTGAAGGTTCACTAAGAACACCCATCATGCAGCAGTTGGTGCTGTGCCATTGATATTGATGACAAGCCTATTATAAACAGGGAGTGTAAGTATCACCTACATTCAGCCTATTTGATTGATTAATGTTATGTAAATGTAAAATGATCCATATTTGAGTAATAGGAGCTGTTGAGGATGGGTGAAAAAGTACAACTTGTCAGCTCCTGTCTTACTTTTTGACCGGTTCCACCCACCAGTTCTGACACCAATACCTCATTCTCTGTCGTGATCGCTTACGAATAGCCCCATGTTCAAGTAAGTGTGTGTGTGTGTGTGTGTGTGTGAGAGAGAGATAAGGTCGGTCAGGTTAACGGAAATATTACTTTTTGGGGGCCTAACTAGTACTGTGTGGAGTGTTTTTGGTGTTCAGTACAGGCCCATGTTGGAGCAACTAGAACTGTGTGGAGTGTGTCTTGGTGTTCAGTACATCATCAATTGCTGTCACTACAGTGTTGATTGTTTACATCAGATACTGCCTTCACTACAGTGTTGATTGTTTACATCAAATACTGCCTTCACTTCAGTGTTGATTGTTTACATCAGATACTGCCTTCACTACAGTGTTGACTGTTTACATCAGATACTGCCTTCACTTCAGTGTTGATTGTTTACATCAGATACTGCCTTCACTACAGTGTTGATTGTTTACATCAAATACTGCCTTCACTACAGTGTTGATTGTTTACATCAAATACTGCCTTCACTACAGTGTTGATTGTTTACATCAAATACTGCCTTCACTTCAGTGTTGACTGTTTACATCAGATACTGCCTTCACTACAGTGTTGACTGTTTACATCAAATACTGCCTTCACTACAGTATTGACTGTTTACATCAAATACTGCCTTCACTACAGTATTGACTGTTTACATCAGATACATTCACTACAGAATTGACTGTTTACATCAGATACTGCCTTCACTACAGTGTTGATTGTTTACATCAGATACTGCCTTCACTTCAGTGTTGATTGTTTACATCAGATACTGCCTTCACTGCAGTGTTGATTGTTTACATCAAATACTGCCTTCACTTCAGTGTTGATTGTTTACATCAAATACTGCCTTCACTACAGTATTGATTGTTTACATCAGATACTGCCTTCACTACAGCATTGACTGTTTACATCAAATACTGCCTTCACTACAGTGTTGACTGTTTACATCAAATACTGCCTTCACTACAGTATTGATTGTTTACATCAAATACTGCCTTCACTACAGTATTGACTGTTTACATCAGATACTGCCTTCACTACAGTGTTGATTGTTTACATCAGATACTGCCTTCACTACAGTGTTGACTGTTTACATCAAATACTGCCTTCACTACAGTGTTGACTGTTTACATCAAATACTGCCTTCACTACAGTGTTGATTGTTTACATCAGATACTGCCTTCACTACAGTGTTGACTGTTTACATCAGATACTGCCTTCACTACAGTGTTGACTGTTTACATCAAATACTGCCTTCACTACAGTATTGACTGTTTACATCAAATACTGCCTTCACTACAGTATTGACTGTTTACATCAGATACATTCACTACAGAATTGACTGTTTACATCAAATACTGCCTTCACTACAGTATTGATTGTTTACATCAGATACTGCCTTCACTACAGTGTTGACTGTTTACATCAGATACTGCCTTCACTACAGTATTGACTGTTTACATCAAATACTGCCTTCACTACAGTATTGACTGTTTACATCAAATACTGCCTTCACTCACTACAGTATTGACTGTTTACATCAAATACTGCCTTCACTACAGTAATTGACTGTTTACATCAAATACTGCCTTCACTACAGTATTGATTGTTTACATCAGATACTGCCTTCACTACAGTGTTGACTGTTTACATCAGATACTGCCTTTACTACAGTGTTGACTGTTTACATCAAATACTGCCTTCACTACAGTGTTGACTGTTTACATCAGATACTGCCTTCACTACAGTGTTGACTGTTTACATCAAATACTGCCTTCACTACAGTGTTGACTGTTTACATCAGATACTGCCTTCACTACAGTGTTGACTGTTTACATCAGATACTGCCTTCACTACAGTGTTGACTGTTAACATCAAATACTGCCTTCACTACAGTATTGACTGTTTACATCAAATACTGCCTTCACTTCAGTGTTGATTGTTTACATCAAATACTGCCTTCACTACAGTATTGATTGTTTACATCAGATACTGCCTTCACTACAGCATTGACTGTTTACATCAGATACTGCCTTCACTACAGTATTGACTGTTTACATCAGATACTGCCTTCACTACAGTATTGACTGTTTACATCAAATACTGCCTTCACTACAGTGTTGATTGTTTACATCAAATACTGCCTTCACTACAGTGTTGATTGTTTACATCAAATACTGCCTTTACTACAGTATTGACTGTTTACATCAGATACTGCCTTCACTACAGTATTGACTGTTTACATCAAATACTGCCTTCACTACAGTGTTGACTGTTTACATCAAATACTGCCTTCACTACAGTATTGATTGTTTACATCAAATACTGCCTTCACTACAGTATTGACTGTTTACATCAGATACTGCCTTCACTACAGTGTTGATTGTTTACATCAGATACTGCCTTCACTACAGTGTTGACTGTTTACATCAAATACTGCCTTCACTACAGTGTTGACTGTTTACATCAGATACTGCCTTCACTACAGTGTTGACTGTTTACATCAAATACTGCCTTCACTACAGTGTTGACTGTTTACATCAGATACTGCCTTCACTACAGTGTTGACTGTTTACATCAGATACTGCCTTCACTACAGTGTTGACTGTTAACATCAAATACTGCCTTCACTACAGTATTGACTGTTTACATCAAATACTGCCTTCACTACAGTGTTGATTGTTTACATCAAATACTGCCTTCACTACAGTATTGATTGTTTACATCAGATACTGCCTTCACTACAGCATTGACTGTTTACATCAGATACTGCCTTCACTACAGTATTGACTGTTTACATCAAATACTGCCTTCACTACAGTGTTGATTGTTTACATCAAATACTGCCTTCACTACAGTGTTGATTGTTTACATCAGATACTGCCTTCACTACAGTATTGACTGTTTACATCAGATACTGCCTTCAATACAGTGTACTCTGTCAATACCGGCATCAGTCGGGACCAAATAAAAATGCCGGTTTTGACAGAGTGCCGGTTTAGCTAGGTTCGCTTATGACGCCTGCGCATACGGAAGTTCGCTGTCGTACTGTCACTTTAGCATTAACAAGATGTTTGAATAAGAAACAAGGCAGTG